TATGGCGGCACTTTCCTCCGCTCAGATCGTGTCCCCAAGTCTAATCAAAACCTCTCTTCCACCTCTTCCACAGTCCCCTTACCCCCCGTCTGCACGGGTACGATTAAGATTGTATTTAACCTGGAAGTTACCTTGTACACAAATTATGAAGCAATTTGATTTATTTTCATTGCTGTTTTTCCAGTTCTGGCCGACCCCCATCCCAGGTCAACCCGGACCCTCTGAGGAGTGAGTAACTCATGAATTCATACGTGTTTATGTGTGTTTGTGTATTTGGCACGTTTAATGGATCACGTTTTTATGTATCAGGCTGGTTCTTAAGCACAATCCAGGAAGAAGTCCTGGGCTTGTCCGCACCAGCTACGCGTAAGTTCCCTCCACAGAGCTCGAACTGATCTTTCGCTAGCTTGATTCACTGCTAGGGATGGGAATCTGGTTCAGATTCCATTGACAGTAGTGTAATAGGTCCAACTGTTTATTATTTGACAGATTCAAACTAGTTTCTCTTGAGTTTAAGAGAGTGTTAGTTTAATATTATTTATATACTATTATAGATTTCATTGATATTTTGAATGAACATTTATTTTTATCCTTTCAGTTTTTGTTTTCATTTTTTTAAATTTCAGTTTAGTTTATTTTTTATATATATATATTATTGTAATTTCAGTTTTTACTTATTTTGGTGCTTCAGTTTAAACTTATTTTAGTTAGTTGCCAAAGCAACATTTCTAATTTTCGTTAAGTTTAAGTCTTTCATCTAATTTTTATATTTTATTTTAGCTTTACGTCAATTAACAAAAAAGTATTTTTAATAGTTTTAGTTAACAATAACCGCACGGGTTTGAATAGGGGGAAAAAAACGTCTTAGTTGTTTGTAAATCAGTTTTTTGTGAACAGCTGGTGAAAATGGTGCATCTGTTTATTGTTTGAGCACAAGATTGCTATGCACATGGAAAATATAGAAGTATTTATATATAATTATATAATAATACATGATAATATACTAATAAATAATATTGCAATCATTTCAGGAAACTTCCTGTGCCTGAAAAAGTCATGGAAATTAATATATTCATGAAGTTACGAAGTCATCCATTTCTATAATATAAACCGTTCTAGATGCTTAGCTCTAAATTATTGAATTGGCTAGGAATTTCTCTGTGCAATGCTTAGTAATCGCAAACAACTGAGAAAGTCATGGAAATTCATTGGTGGTTAAAAGTAGGGAACTCTTATTATTTTGTAGCAGCCACTCTTTTTCATCATATTCGTTTCAGATTTCAAGCTCACAGTTTGGCTAAAACGTGGTTAGATTTACTGTAGATTCAGTAAGGCTGCAGGAAATGCCATTAGAGACAGATTTTGGTATGCTGCTCTGTCTGGGTTCTGGTTTTTATTCCCAACATTTTTCACTGGCAGCCTGATTCCTCTCTACATCGTTGGCTCTGTGGTCTCAGCATTTGCTGAGATCTCTTGAGGATGTGTGTTATCAGACGTGAGCTAGCGCACATGACTTCTGTCTTATTACACTCCCACTCTGAAGTAGGTGAACTTACGCTTGGCTGATACGGCCAAAACAAACAGTTGTGGGATAAGTGAAGTGTCAAGGTGTGAAATATCCCACCTTTAAAGCAAAAACAATAACAAAGGGTTCCCACGGTCATAGACAACTGGAAGATATCAGGAAATTTGTGTTTTGTAGGACTGGAAATTAAAGGAACAGTTCACCCAAAAATGCAAATCCGTCATCATTTACTCACCCTCATGTTGTTCCAAACCTGAATGAGTTCCTTTCTTCTGCAACAAAGAAGGTATTTTGAAGAATCTTGGTAATCAAACAGTTGACGGTAGCCATTGACTTCCATGGGGGAAAAAATTCTATGGAAGTCAATGGTTACTGTCAACTGTTTGGTTTCCAACATTCTTCAAAATATCTTCTTTTGTGTTCAGCACAAGAAAGAAGGGACGCAACAATGTATCGGCCAATAATCGGTATCATCTGATAAAAACAATTAGCCGATTGTTTAAAAACAGCTGGTGACATATGGTATATTATAAGGTCAGCTAGTCATTATCACAAAATAAACCACAGACAGGGTGATCAGGACCCTGATGTGAAGCAAAGGAGTCTTGATTTTTGCGATAATGACTGGATTATTGTCCACTATACTGTATATCTCACAACTATATGCTGAATTAATAAATGTGAACAAGAAATATTGATTTCAAAAATAAATTTTGATTCCATTTTTAGTTTCAGAGTATATATTTGAAAATCTTGTCCATTTCTATAGTGAATATAATTTTTTTCTAGTTATTGTAGTTATTAAATTAATATCTAGTATTAAATTAATAATTAGCTGGATATTGCTCTTGTCTAGCATAAGGCTTGTTTACAAGTCAAACTGATGTTTGATTTGTGAGTGAATCATTTTCTGGTTGATTCTAAATGATTCATTAACAAACCAGTTTCATCAAAATAATTTTTAACAATCCTTATCCAGTAATTACAAATGAATGGAAATGGGCAAAAAGTGTGGGAACCCTGATAAGGCAATGTTTAACAAGTAAATGATCTTTTCATGTGCACTTTGTAACGAGTACAAGTTTTGCACAACTTTGATTCTAACAAATCCTGAACACTTTTTCAGCATCAAGCCATTTGCACAAACTCCTTACTCAAACATACCTGGACCTGTTCAACCACCCTTAGGTAAGTATATAGTTCATTTCGAGCACAGCCCACCCCGCTTCAGTTTCTTCCGTTTATGTGCATGGTTGAGTCTTAACTGTCGCCCCCTTGTGTTTGTGCAGCGTATGAGTCTCTGGCCCCTCCTCTCCCGCCGGTTGCCACCGCAGTGCCCGTGTGGCAGGATCGCACCACTGCCTCCTCCAAACTGCGCCTTCTGGAGTACTCTGCGTTTATGGAGGTCCCGCAGGACCAGGACTCTGTGAGTAGACAGGAGCACTCCACAAATATGCTTATTTACAAAGTTGAGTGAATAGTGATATGGATTAGTGTTAGTTAATTAAATAAATATGCCGCATGTTTCAGAGTAAAGCTCTGTGCACTGTTTTTTTTTTTTTACACTCGAGAAGCTCATGATCCGTTTGCAGCATCTCAGAGCGGCTTGGTTTACAGTAAATGCTGCTTCACATGAAATCCATCTTCACTTCAACATACTTTTGGGAACTCGTGCGCCAACTAGCTTCCCTAACGTGTAGTGTTGTCAAACGATTAATCGCGATTAATCGCTTCCAAAATAAAAGTTTTTGTTTACATAATATATGTGTGTGTACTGTGTATATTTATTATGTATATATAAAGACACACACAGCATATATTTTACTTATATTTACATGTATTAATGTGTATATATTTATATTCATATAAATTATATCATATATAAATATATTTAATATATAAACAACATTTTTCTTAAATATATACATGCATGTGTGTGTCTTTATATATACATAATAAATATACACAGTACACACACATATATTATGTAAACAAAAACTTTTATTTTGGAAGCGATTAATCGCGATTAATCATTTGACAGCACTACAAACTTGTCATGAGCACGTAAAAAAAGAAACCGGCTGTTGCCAACAAAAAAGAATCTTTAAGAGCTCATTGCAGTTTTCCAACCAAAATGAAATCTAGATGGTTTAATGTTTGAAAATGTTAAGATTAAGACACAAATATTAAACATAAATATTAGTATTGCAATTGTACAGTTGAATTGTAAAATAAAACATTTTTAAATGATAATAATTTAATCATTTTATTCTAATTTTTGTTGTACTTTGTAAAAACTACAATAACAATTTGTATTATTTTCTTGTTACATAGTAATAATAATAATCAATAAAATATTATTATTATTATTATAGTCATAATATATAATTACAACATTTCTGTCCAAAGTTGCGGCCCTTCAAATAAGCACAGCAAGCCTGGAGAATTTAAAAAAAAAAAAAAAAAGTATAAATGCGTTTTAAACTTTTTTTATTAATAATAAATAATAGTTAGTGACTCATTTTAAATGTAAGAAATATCACAAAATCAGACATAACTATTGAAAATGTTTTCATTATGTTCATTAACAAAAAGATCAAGTGTTTTATTATTAACTATATTATTACATTTTGATTCCATTCTCAGAGTATATATTATGTTTACATAAATCATAACCATTTTTATAGTGAATATACATTTTTATTAGCTATCCTCTGCTACACATTATTAATTAAATTAATAATCAGATATTGCTCTTGTCTTAAATATGTTCTCGACATAACTGAGTGAAAAGTTTCAATGATGAATACTCCTGAATTTCTCAGTATTTGGTTTTTCTCCTTTAGCTCTAATTACATAGTTGCTGACTTAGAGACATTTGAATTAATTCACTTGTTTTTACATATGCATATTTCTTCTTTCAAAATAAGACAAATATAGCATAGACTAGTGGTTCTCAACTCCAGTCCTCAGGACCCACTGCTCATCACATTTTGTATGTCTCCCTTATTTAACATGCCTGATTCAGCTCATCAGCTTGTTAGGAGAGAGATCCATGAACTGAACTGAGTGTGTCAGATTGAGGCCCCGCCCACACAGAGAAGCGTTTAGCTGTATACGCAAAAATTATGTATCGTATAGGCATTTTGTCCACACGGATCCGGCGTTTTGGGAGAGTGAAACCGATATTTTTTTAAACCGGGTACCAGAGTGGATAAATCTGAAAATGCCGCCCTTGCGTTTTCGTGTGGACAGCGAATCCGTATATTTTCTGAAACTATGACGTCATGAGCCCACGTCTCGCCCCTAATCAGCCACCGCTACGTCACGTAACAGCAACAAAAACATGAACAAACACTGAACGGTTGTCTTTTTATTAAATAACATTAACACAGATTAATAAATGTATTGTTCCATGTTCGTTTGTATACCGCGCGCAAGGTTTATGCGCATAGTCCAAGTCTTCTCCGTTTTTAGTGTATCTCTGTTGCAGAATTACAGCGCCACATACTGGTCTGGCATGTATACTACATAGTTTTGTGTCGGTTTCGTGGTTTCGTGTGGACGCAGATATTTCTTGAGACGAGGGGGAAAAAAAGATTGGATGGGGGAAGCTCTGGCTTCGTGTGGATGTAGCCTCAGAAACATACAAAATATGCAGAGCAGTGGGTCCCGAGGACTGGAGTTTAGAACCACTGGCATAGACTAGCTTTATTAGTGAACCTTAAGTTGCATCCAGAAATGCAGACGGCTCACGATATATTTGAAATGTCCTTTTACAGTACAGCAAACACCTGTTTGTTCACATTGGCCAGACCAACCCCTCCTACAGCGACCCTCTGCTGGAGGCGGTGGACATCCGACAGATCTACGACAAGTTCCCCGAGAAGACGGGAGGACTCAAGGAGCTGTACGAGAAGGGCCCTCAAAACGCCTTCTTCCTCGTCAAATTTTGGGTGTGTGCATGTCATTTATGTGATGTAAACCTTCACAGAAAAGCACTTTGGTGGTGTTTTGATACACAGTGTACCTGCCTTGTTATTGCTACAAATGATTCCTTAAATCGTGCAGCTTGAATCTAGTTGCTCGTTGCATCACTTGCACCACAGTACTGAGTTAGTTTTTCTCTCTCAGGCGGATCTGAACAACAGCGGCGTTCAGGATGGACCGGGCTCCTTCTACGGAGTCAGCAGTCAGTACAGCAGCTCAGAGAACATGACCATCACCGTCTCAACCAAAGTCTGCTCTTTCGGGAAGCAAGTGGTGGAAAAAGTGGAGGTCAGTAAGATCAGCCTTTAATTGCCTGAAAAGCGCTAGTGTTTCTCGTATCTGAGCGTGCTTTATTGGATTTACAGACAGAGTACGCTCGTGTCGAGGGAGGGAAGTGCCTGTATCGGATCCATCGTTCTCCCATGTGCGAATATATGATCAACTTCATCCACAAGCTCAAGCACCTGCCTGAGAAATACATGATGAACAGCGTATTAGAAAACTTCACCATCTTACAGGTGAAACACCAATATTTCATATTGAAGACTTTAACACCCTGTTATGTTTATAATTATCTCTATTGTTTTATAGGTCCACAAGTTTTTTTTGTTTTTTTTAAAGAAATGAAAAACATTTTTTTATAACACATTTAAAAAGAGGCATATCAATGATCTAGATTTAATTGAATTCATTAAATAAGTTGTTTTAAGAAATTGTAAAATTTTAAATAAAGTCATAAATATTTTCAATAATATAATTATAATTGAAAATATATAATTTTGAAATGTAATAAGGATGTTGATGATAATGATAATCTTAATAAAAGTAATATATAATTTATGATCAGAAAAACTGTCACTGTTATAACACGGTATAAATGTTTTATAAAATTTTACAAAATTAAAACACACACATTTTTTCTAAACACATAATTATTTAATGATGATGATATGATGATAAAAATAGTAGTTATATATAATTGTTATTGTATATTGCTTGAAAATAATAATCACAATCATGTTGACATTATATTGATATTCATAGTAATATATAATTTATGATCAGAATAAATGGTCACATTTTTTTCTGTAATTTATTGGAAGCAATATAAAATGATAAATATTTTCTAAAGTAAAGTTTACAAAATTAATGATATTGTAATAATATCTCATTTTGTTTTTATATTTGTTGCTTGGAAATAATCATTACAATCTGCATTTTCTAGTCAAAATTGAACGTCTTTTTTCCTGTAATAGAAATGCTGTCTTCAGAGATGTTGAGTGTTTTTCTTCTCTGTTTGACCTGCTGCAGGTGGTGACCGACAGGGAAACCCAGGAGACTCTACTGTGTATAGCGTTTGTATTTGAAGTGTCTACGAGTGAACACGGGGCACAATACCACGTCTATAGGCTCATTAAAGACTAGCCCCCGCCGCCGCCAGACTTCAGGTGCTTTGCACAGTGCCTCCATCACACGTATGGAGGAATATGCCAAATTGTCCAAACATTGGAGGAATACGCCTAAATGTTACAAAAAAACATGTTTTGCTTTCGTTCTAAACCTGGTACAGAATTTGAGTCTTTGAGGACATAAAACATAAAGTATTACTCTGTTTATAAAAAAAAAACCTAAAAAATTTTTTTTTGTACTTGTTTTTAAATGCCTTAAATACAAAATGAGTTGGTTTTGGTGCATATACAGATCAAAGATGTCTTTTAAGCTTGGTTGTGTCTCCAGAGGGAATGTGAATGAGTTTTGATGGGAAAGAATGTCATGAAAGACAATGTGTGCCGTTTATGCAGCATTTTACAATGATTTAAGGAAGAAATGTCTCATTTTACCCTAAAATCGTAAGGAAAAATATATATATTTTGGATAAAGAAAATGAAGGCTATTTTTAGGACTACTTTTGCATGTTATATTCACGAACCCGAAACTCTTATTATAATGCAAGAGAAGATGCTATTGTCATTACTCTTAAAACAGTCATTTTTTAAAATGAAAATTAGTATAAATAGTATTTTTTTTTGCATTACACTAAAAAGATTTGGGAAGCAATCTGATTAATTATCTTCAATATAATGTCATAATGCAAAAAAACAAAAAAAAGTCCTAAAAATAAGTTTGTTTTCTTTATGCATTTTCATGAAGAAAATTTGTATTGTATTTTTTCTTTTGATTTTGGGGTGAAATATGAAATGGACATGTTGTTGCCAGGTTTTGTGAGATTTACCTGATTTGTAAATGAGGACCAGGTCGGCCAGCGGAGGGTTTACGTTCATCTTTCTAAAGGACAGACGTTAACCGAATAACTGCAGATGTTATTTGTTTCATCGGCTGTTCTTTGAACAAGAGAAAAGGCGTCAGAAACCGTTCTGCAGGTACTAAAGGATTTTGAGTAGTTGACCCAAATGTGAGTGCCTTTCTTCAAAGAACACAAATCGATTGATACTCTGAAGTGCCTTTTGACTACCTCTTGACATAAAATAATAGGATTAGATAAAGCGATCAATTTCTTTATGCTACAAAGTATTTAACTCTGCTGTTCATCGAAGCTTTCGTGAGATGCATGAACTGAGGAAAGGTTGGATTGTTTAAAAGTCAAGTGTGAATGTCACTCTGGTACAAACAAAGTGCTGCCCGTCGAGATTTTAAACATTTAATCCTGGAACAGTACCTTGATAGAGTTTGTTTTATGTCTTTTTAAGTCAGAGGATGTTGCATTGCTGTCATATCTGGTGCTTTTTAAACCCTTGAAGAGAGTGTTTGCATTTCCAAGCTGGTTATTACTCATGTCTTTCTTTTTTTTTCACCATCACAATGTATCTGCACTGTGTACCTTTTTATTTTATTTTTTGTGCATCAAGTACATTTTTCTCTGAATTACTTGTCAGATCCTTTAATTTTGGGTTCAAGCATCAGTTTTTCTTGTATTCCTGGTGTTAAAGTGTAAAAGGGAAAGTCATTAGTGTCACCCTGTACGTCAGCACAGATGTGTTCTTATAGTTTTTATGGTTTGTGCATCTCTCTGAATCTCATTTTTAGATGTAAAAATACAACTTTTTTTAGAACAAGTATGCACCAGGTGTTTGATATGGAATTACAGAAATATGCCATTTTAAAAGTGCTGAACTGAGATCATATTTTGCTACTACTGAAAATGTAATGTTTGTTTTCCCATTTGAGAACTAAAAACTTGAATTTTCGACCCGATTCAATGTTTCCAATGTAACATTGGAAAAGCCATGTAGCATTTTTGTTCCACTCGCCCCTAAAATTGAAAGACGGCACCGCTTGTATGGATAATGTTCTTGGGATGGTTGTTAGACATGAGCTGGTGCTCGCTGATAGCAGTTAGATTCATTCTGAAGGTACTGCAAATTTTTGGGTACACCTATAAAAAAAAAACGGAAATGTAATGTGTATTGGTACAGCCTTAACCTACTTTTTTGTGTTTGAACTTCAATGACGACAGTTTTCTCAATTGTATTTTTTCTTACAGGCTTTTTTGTTTCCTTTTTATAATTATTGTTATAATTATTAATTTTATGTTTGCTCTTCGACTTTCAATTGATGCTATATGCATACATTGAAAATTTTGTGTGTTACTGTTATTTTGTGCCATAATCTAAGTGGTGTTGGCAAAAGCTTTCCCCTGGTTTTTAACAGTTCATTGTGGCCTTGGTTACCAGTTGTACATTGCAGTTATGTATATCTTCAATGTTAGGGGTTTGTACAATATAATCAAAACAATGTATAGCAATACCAATAAAATGGCATGGGTCTCCTTGGACCATATTTCTTAAAACACTCTTACAACTTTGTAAAAGTGTCTTTTTCTCATTCACATAAATGAGGCTGGCAGAAAATATTCTTGAAAACAAAACAAAGTATATTAAAAATGGCTTACAATGCAATATCTAAAATATATGAAAATTGTGAGAGGCAGAATTAACATGTTGACTAGTATTTTGTATTGAAATATCACCAACTGCTGCTTTTCTGGTTGTAGAGAAAAATGCAACATTAAAAAATACCTTGGTACTTAAAGGAATACTATGGTAAATGTCCAAAAACTTTCACGAGTTGCAGAAGTTCTTTCTTCAGAGGGCGCTTCAGAAATCCCACATTGAGCTGCATTTAAAATTCAGGATGTTTGTCTTTTTCCCCTTATTTTTTTAACTCTAGAAAGTATTTTTGCTTAAATCAGGGGTCGGCAAAATAAGCTTAAAGGAACACTCCACTATTTTTGGAAATAGGCTCATTTTCCAACTCCCCTAGAGTTAAACAGTTGAGTTTTACGGCAGTTGGTACTGCAGCAAAGTTCCTTGATTATTACGCCGGAATGAGAGTATAGTTCCTAGCCATATCGGCCTAGAAAATCGCAACGTTTCATTCTCCGTCGGTCTTAGTACACGATGTAACTACAGAAGAGTCCAGTTTTTGGTCATTTTTTTGAGCGAGATGCTAACGGTCTAATCAGATTCAATGATCTATGCTAAGCTACAGCTAAAAGTGCTACCGCCAGACCCGATGATCGGCTGAATGGATTCGAAAATGGTAAAACCAAGCGGCAACCTCCCGCTCTCTCCCATGAAGCCAACAAGGAAGTGACTTAAACTGTAATATATCAACTGGCCGCTAGAGGCTGACTGCAAAAGGGAGTCAATCCCATAGACTCCCCATGTTAAAATGCCCAACTTTACAGCAGAAAAAAAACATGTTTACAGCCTGGTTCAAAAAATGATTTTGGTCTATATAGCTAATTTTGCCCTTCATGACAACTGTGAGGGGGGTGAATTTTTTTATAACTCATCCGTTTAAATTATATTAAGCCTTAAGGTTCTGCATAATTAAGGGCGTGGCCACTTGAGTGACAGGTGGATTGCCGCTGCTGTCACCACCATCGAGCTAGGTGGGAGTAGTTTCAGCAACCTGCTCCCGCCTCTTTGCCCATTTTCGATTATCCGGTGACGCGCTGCCAAGATGGCGACGGCCCGCTCCGCCCACTTTGAGCTCCAAAAACGCTCCTCAGAAATCTACAGGTGACGTCACGGACACTACGTCCATGTTTTTATACAGTCTATGGGTAAAACTCAACGGTTTAACTCTAGGGGAGTTGAAAAATGAGCCTATTTTCAAAAATAGTGGAGTGTTCCTTTAAGAACGTTATATTCACCAACGCCCCTGATTGGTGCATCTTTAAAAGCGCTGAGAAAAGTAACAGGAAACACATGACAATGTAATCTACTTAAGCAACATCTGGAAAATAATTTACCCCCAAATAGTGATTTAACAGCTATTTAATTGAAATTAGACAGTGAATATTTAAAAGATGCCAATTAATATTTTGAGACATTGTACTTCACCAAACAGAGACAATGATAAGTGAGCGTTTCCTTAAGAAAAACTCAATTTCCCAGCATTCCAGTCAACGTGGCGCTGGTCATGACGAAACCGTGACGTCTGAGAGTCGGCGTACTCACGTTGAACTTCATTTGCTGCAAAGTAGCTCTTGAGTGGAAACAACCAAACAAAAAGTAAACTTTAAACACTGTATTAAAAACTCTGAATATGCGCGATGTGTCAGTCACGCTTTATTTTGCGCTCAGCAGTTGAGAGATGAACACGTTTGCTCATTTTACAAATTAAACGTTTAAAGTTAAACGTAAAATATCCATCAGACGCGTTTGGTGAAGCTGAATGACTTCTCTGCAGACGACATCCAGGTCAGTGGCCGATGAGGAAGTAGCGGTCTGACTGAGACACACTGAGCTCGTGAAGGTTTGTTTATAACAGCTAGAACACATTGACCAGCACAAAGGTAAGATCGGGTCTCCAGCACATATGACTCGATTACATTTAACAGCCTTTAATTAAATGCATTCTGCAGCATATGAGCGCAGATGATTCGTGCTTTGATGTTTTGTTATATAATGCAGTGACAATCATTTTAAAGTGTTCTTTATGCGTATGCATACGGCATCATATGTTTGCACTAGTCACCTTAAGTAAACTACCCAACTGGTCATTTTATAAACGTTAACATTTAATGAAAATACCAGTATACTTTAATGTTATAAACCCATGCACCTGCAACAACTTACTTGTTCATTTGTTTTACATATTACAGTGTGTGTGTGTGTGTGTGTATTTGCACACACGAGCATTATAGTATATATATATATATATATATACACACACACACATACATGTTGGTTTTTATGGTTTATGGGGACTCTCCATAGGCGTAATGGTTTTTATACTGTACAGACCGTATATTCTATTACCCTACACCAACCCTACCCCTAAACCTACCCCTCACAGGAGACTTTCTGCATTTTTAGATAAAAAAAAAAAAACGAATTCTGAATGATTTATAAGCCTTTTGAATTACGGGGACACTCAAAATGTCCTCATAAATCACCTTCTCGTTGTAATACCTGTCATACCCATGTTATACAAACACACACATTTTTGTTATTCAAGGCTTCCTGGTAAAATCTAGGTAACCCCGTTTCCACCACAGAATAAAAATAAAATAAAATTGGGTTGTGAGATCGGAAAAGCTGCAGAAAAGTCTGAATTGCAAGAACAAACCAGAATTCTGAGATTTTTAAATATGCAAATTTGAATTCTAAGAAAAAAGTTTGAATTGCGAGATAAAAAAACTCAGAATTGCCTGAAAAAAGTTAGAATTCTAAGTTTACCCCCGGTTTCACAGACGAGGCTTAAGCATATAGTCCCAGACTAAAATGTAATTCTGAGCTGTTTTAACTGAAATGACCTTGCACTGACTGATCTTAAAACATATCAGTGCTTTTGTTTTGTCTCAAGATGCACACCAGTAATATTTTTTAAGGCATGTTAATAAAAATTACTTAATTGTCCTAATTGAACTCTGGCCTAATCCTGGCTTAGTCTAAGCCCTGTCTGTGAACCCGGGCCTATATCTCTCATTTCTTAAGGTTTCATGCAGTTCTTAGTTTATATATCTCACAATTCTTACTTTTTTCTCCGATTTTTTCCCCCATGATGGAAACCGGCTTCCCTAAAACACAGATTGTAAAATTGGCCCAATCACTGGTCTGGTCTGTCTGGTATCAGCAGTAAACACGGATCGTCCCGGCGCCGCTCAGTGCTTGTGTGCAGCAGCTGCGTCTGTGTTTACTGTTCCTGGATGGTCATAACGCTGGAGCAAATGCTGTTGCTTACTGGTGTAAAATTGATTTTCGGTCATCACAAGCACACGCTGCCATTGAGATTCAGCTTAGGACGTATGTAAAGCTGCTGGGAGTTTATGTTAGAAGGATCTTTGGGATTTGCAAGAAATTGGTATCATAAAAATACCATGGTACATTTTAGTGTACGATGTGCCATAATATTACTGTAGTGATGACAATACCATGTTATTTTGATATATACTATGGTACATGTGCCAAAAATATTGTAGTACCATAGTATCCTTTTTTTCTTTTCTTTTTTGTTGCTGTTGTTGTAAGGGATGGTACTGCCACAATACTATTTATTTATTTAAAAAAATATATAGCCTACACTAATATAAGGAGGAGTAATACAAGGGTCAAAGATGAAAAGGGGTTTTCAAGCATCAAAACAATAAGTTTAATGCAGGTTTAAATGTGTACATTTAAAAATAAAAAAGTATGCATTTAGAACGCGTCCTGCTTAATTTCATTTTTTTCTGAGTATTATGAGAAAAAGTTAGAAATGCAAGATATAAATTTGCTAAATTTGTGAGATAAACAGCCACAAAAGTTATTTGAATCATTAAAAGAGATACTTGCATCAAATGTGCTTTCGATGTATATAAAATCACTTTTGTACAATTAATTTGATGCAGACACCAAAATGGGGCGTCTCGTCTTTGACCCATATGATTTAAAAAAAAATAAATATAAACTATCATTTATGTATATATTATATACTTAACTGCTAAGTAATTAGAGGCTAGTATTGTGTAGTTATTCTAATATGTACTACATGTACATATATATGCATATATGCATGCATGCATGTATGTGTGTGTTTATACACACACACACACACACACACACACACACACAAGGTTATCTTTGCAGTCACTCTGCAGGGTGTGTTGTGTACAGTAAGTGTCACCATAGCAACACAGTGAGTAGCCTAGACCTTTGACCCTCGGGATTGAGGTGGAGCCATAATGATATCCAGCAGCACTGCTGGGCGCCGGGCTTTATGATTTATGAAACGCTGTCAGACGAGCGTTTGTGTATCAGGGACTCTGTGGTTTTACTCTGGCTCAAAGGTATTTCAGTTACTTGTATGGCTTGTTGTGAACTACTTTCTTTTAGAAAGCTGTGGACTAACAAGCACCAGTCTTGCTTATGTTTTAGGCAGGTCAGGTAATATGAAATATGTTTTATTTTAGATTGGTTGTAGTGGTGGTTTTGTGTTGATGAGGTGGGAGCTAAAATGTATGTATTTATGAAATATCTGTCATGTTTGTAAGCTGAATGTATTTGATTATTAATAATTTATTTTTATAGTATTTTATATTTTCCACAGTATATTTCATACATAAAGATAAACCAGTATACTTGTAGTCTCACTAACCCAAAAAACGTTTAATGCACTGAAAAAAGTTGTGCAGTATTTTGTGTAAACAGTTTCAAACGTAGTGACGTTCGTTCTGAGAAATTCACAACTGAATCAAACCGTTTTGTTTTGTGTGTCGGAACTGGATCCTCTCCTTTATCCTCACAGACTGGCTGTAACCATCCCATAAGACCCATCGCCATGACAACCTCAGCACCAATCAGATTCCGTGTCTTCTCTCTCAACTGCTGGTGAGATTCCTTTAGCTGAAGAAATGCAGAGTTCTCATATTCCTAAATGATATTTAACTGATCCTACTGGGAATGTTTTATAGGATTTCAGCAAAACACAAAACAAAAGCTAGATCCTTTAGAACACATTACGATACTCCACTGGATAAAAATGTCCCTGTAGAAAGTTCCAGTTGATTACACAATATCCAATATGACTATAAAATGATCATATCATACTTTTTTTAATTCTTCTTTTATGTGATATTGTACTAAAGACAAGACAAATGTTTAAAATATTGTCAGAAAAATACTTTAAATACAGGTGCATCTAAAAAAAAAAAAATAATATTGTGAAAAATAAGTGTTTTTGTAACTTATTTCAAAAAGTGAAACTTTCATATTTTCTAGATTCGTTACATGAAACATTTCAAACGTTTTTTTTGTTTTAATTTTGATGGTTAGAGCGTACAGCTCATGAAAGTCAAAAACTTTTTTTTGAGATGCACCTGTATTTTCTTAGTTAACAGCATGCTTTTTCTAAACATTATTGATATTGCCAGGGTTATTATAGTTAACTAAAACCATAAAAAGCATATTTAAATAAAAACTTAAAATAAAATCAGAAAAAAACAAATAGTATCTCAATGAAACTAAAATAACACTTTATACACTTTTTTTTAATTAAATAAATTTTTAGAGCTATTCATAATAAATAATAAATGTTTTTCATCTAATAAAAAACATAAAACAAAAAATTACTTAAACTACTGTATTTGAACATATACTGTATGTTGCAGGAATTACAGATTTGCATATGGAGATTTGGTGTTCATTAAAATATTTTAAAGAAATTTCATTTCTGTTAAAATGCATCTTGCAAAATCTTTTTATTTTCTCTTTATTTCTAGTGAAAATCTTTGCACTGAAGTTATAGTATTAACGAATAATTTGCTACAAATTATCCTTGAATGCAAGATAATAGTATAAAGGGGCGTATAAGCCAATGTAGTTTGTTGTGATTGTTTTAGGGGGATCCGATACCTCAGTAAGAACTGCAAAGAGCGGTTTGTTCTGATCGGAGACCTGCTGAGTCAGGAACAGCTTGATATAGTGTTACTACAGGAGGTAAAACACAAACTTCCACACGTACAGATGTTTAAATCCAAACATCAAATATATGGCTATTCGTATTATTTGTACTGTCACAGATATTCCACACATTGAGAGATGCCTCTTCTCTCAGTTTAAACCATTGATAATCATTGAATGAACTGTTTGAATAATAAGAAGCAAATATGTCCGTACTAGATTTTTTATTTTTTTTTTAAATACAGGTTTGTACTGTAATATTGTCATGTTTTTCTGGGGCTGTTTGTTCCAGGTCTGGTGTGAGAAAGACTTTCTGTTTTTAAAGAAGAAGCTTAGCAGCGTCTATCCGTACTCCCATTACTTTAAAAGGTCAGTCGTGATCTATAATGCATGAAAATAACAACATTTTTACTAAAGGTTCTTGAAATGCACAAACCGATATGAATGAGGGGCACAGATAAAGATGCATTTTCTCTTAAAGAAACTTCTCATCTTCAGTGGATTTATAGGGAGCGGACTGGCCGTGTTTTCCAGACATCGAATCCATGATGCCTTTCTGTACAGATACTCATTAAATGGATATCCATATATGGTCAGTCTGATCAGTTTCATGCACAAACATCCTGCTCTTCTACTTAAATATAAAAATAAAGAAAGGAAGAATAGCATTTAATTCAATAATGCAGTCTAACACAAGCATGATTGTTTCCTGTACTATATATTTGCACCATAGCACACTCTTAAATACCATATTGCTTTTATAAAATACTTACGACTATGCATAATAAAAATATGTTTTTTTTAAAACCGTATTTTATTATGCAGATCCACTATTTGTCATCCTGTGAAAAGTAAACGGTACACCCATTATAGACACAGACTGTTGTAAATAAACTCATTTTTATGCAGCATTTATTTATGTGGCCTCAGTTTCCTCTTTCAGTGTCAGAGATGTGTGGTTGCTGTGATGGCTTGTTAATGATCAATTCTTATATCAGGCTCAACATGGCGACTGGTTTGGTGGTAAAGCCGTCGGGAAGGTCTTGCTCAACATCCGTGGGCTGAAGGTTCATATATTTATCACTCATGTAAGTTCATGCAAAATGCATATATCAGTGTTATTTATATAGCATTATAGTATTTGTTATTGTTTATTATATTTGAATTTATTGTAGTATTTATTAATTATGTATCGTTAAAAAAAATTTTTGTGTGTGCTTTTTTCTTTTTCTTATTATTTAATTATTATTTTTAGCTTCTACTCTGTTACAGCAGTTTCTTCTCTTTGCAGCTGCATGCAGAATATTGCAGAGAGAAAGACTCGTATCTCCCGCACCGAGTGGTTCAAGCCTGGGAGCTGCAACAGTTCATAAGGTGCTAAACGTCTGCTATATTTAGCCATGGCTGTAGGTTTATTTTGAGCCTCATAGAGGTTTTAATTGCACAGTTCTTCAATGACAGCCTCTTTGCAAAACTGCATCAGATTGCACCAGATTCGTAAACCAGTCAGTGCTAAAAAAGTGCCGCTCAACTTTTGAGATCGCACTGAACTGGTCAATGGTTTTGTTGAAAATATCTCACAACTCTGACTTTTTTTTCTTGTAATGTTGAGTTTATATCTCACAATTATGACACTTTTTTTCTTCTTCTCAGAACTGGCTTACATATATAATGCTAACGACTGGCTGTCTTTTTCGATAAAGGCACACTAGTGCTGGAGCGGACGTGGTGATTCTGGGTGGAGATCTGAACATGCACCCAGACGATCTCGGCACCAGACTGCTGAGAAACTACACAGGACTTCAGGACAGCTTCAGTGAGACGGCGAACTTTGATGTTAGTACTGTGAGGCTGCCTGGATTCTCGTAATGACTGAGTGTGTGTAATGTAAAGTCACCTAAATTATGATTTATGACAGCCACCCTGTCATTTGTTTCAGGGATGTGAGGAGGGACACACTCATATATCTGAAAACCCATTCACAAACACAGATGGGCTTGTTCCATTTGGAGGAGGAGTCCGGATAGACTACATCCTGTTCAAGGTAAATATTAGATACTTGTCGGGTTTTCTACTGGTTGTTATTATTAAGTGGCATTTTCTGTTATTAAGCAGTGTTTTTCTAATCCTCATACTGTTGCTTATGCTCTGGTTTAGTCATTTAAACAAAAGGAACTCATCCTACAGACACGAATGACAAGAAAATTAAACAAATTAACAAAATTATTACTTCCATGTCAGATCTACTTCTCTTTAAATCAGCTTTCTTTACCTGTATGCTCATGAATGAAACAGCGCTGTTTTTCTGGCAGGGATCAGGGGAAGTGGATGTGAGCTGTGAGTCTTTGTCCACCACTAAGGGCCCTGTTCCTGGACATCCCTTCCCTTACTCTGACCACGAGGCTCTCACGGCCGAGTTCCTGTTTACACTGACTACAAAGGGAAATGGGTGCTCAAAGAGGCAATCTGGCTGTGTTTCAGGTATTTGCTCTTCAGTTTTGGGGATCTTAGAATATTAAATACACACATTTTTGCTTCAACAACAACTACAAAATCTTGCCACTAAACCAATGCTCTCTATTTTGATGCGCTTTAATAAAGTTTGAAAATTGGCTGCTTGGGTTTGCTTGCTTGTTTTTTGGATATGCAATGTGCTTTAAAGGAACAGTGCACCCAAAAAATATGAATTACTCTGTCATATTGCTCAAAACTTCTAAATAAATAAATACATACATACATGAATGAATGAATAAATGAATAATTAAATGTAAAAAAAATGGCATATTTTCAGTTTGAAACAACTTAAGGGTGAGTAAATGATGCTTTTTGAGAATTCATTTGTTTGATTCAAAATACAGCAAAAACAATAATATTGTGAAACATTGTTACAATTTCAAATAACTGTTTTCTATTTTAATATATTTTAACATCTAATTTATGCAAGGCTGAATTTTCAGCATCATTCCTCCAGTCTTCAGTGTCACATGATCCTTCAGAAATCATTCTTATATACTGATTTGCTGCTCAACAAACATTGTTTAATATTTTTTAACAACAGCTGTTTAATATTTTTATCAGAACCGTAATACAGAAAGAAAGCTGAATAGAAAGTTTAAAAGAACAGCATTTATTTGAAATTTTGTCTTTGTCACTTTTGTGTCATTATGTCACTTTAATTTAATCCATTTTAAAGGGGTCATATGATGTGATTTCAAGTTTTCCTTTCTCTTTGGAGTGTTACAAGCTGATTGTGAATAGATAAGATCCCTAAAGTTGCAAAGACTAAAGTCTCAAAACCAAAGAGATATTCTTTATCAAAGTTAAGACTCTGCCACGCCCCCCTAAAACGGCTCGTTCTAACACGCCTCAACATATCTACCTCAACATTGTTTAATATTTTTTAACAACAGCTGTTTAATATTTTTATCAGAACCGTAATACAGAAAGAAAGCTGAATAGAAAGTTTAAAAGAGCAGCATTTATTTGAAATTTTGTCTTTGTCACTTTTGTGTCATTATGTCACTTTAATTTAATCCATTTTAAAGGGGTCATATGATGCGATTTCAAGTTTTCCTTTCTCTTTGGAGTGTTACAAGCTGATTGTGAATAGATAAGATCCCTAAAGTTGCAAAGACTAAAGTCTCAAAACCAAAGAGATATTCTTTATCAAAGTTAAGACTCTGCCACGCCCCCCTAAAACGGCTCGTTCTAACACGCCTCAACATATCTACCTCACTATGTGGGAATATTTGCATAATGCTGCCCATATGTTCACGCAAAGAAAGAAGGCGTGGTTTCAGTAAGCGCAGTTAGTGTTGAAGCAGCATGTCAGGGAGACGCTGTGTGTTTCTAGGTGAAGGCAAAAGCACTTTATTTGGCCTTCCGAAAGTAGATGCATTTAAGAATCTTTAAGATCACTTACAACAGAAAAGTATTGATTTCTTTAAAGAAAATTATTTTAAAAATCTAACTGAACTCAAACATTTAAATGTTAGTGAATGGTTTTCCATTATGTCTCTGTCTTTCTTTCTCAGATAAGCTTCCTGAGCTGGTCAACACCGTCAATGAAGCTCGTACTGAAATAAAGGTGGGTCTCCACTGCGCTGAGCGCATGCGCCACACAGCAGCGCGTACAGGCATTATGGGTCTTGTCCTGTTAGTGCTTGAGCTAGCAATCGCCGCTGTCCCATTGTTTGCTCTGGGAACTGAACAGCCCTTTCCCAAAGCCTCTTTCTATCTGCTGGGGGCACTGTGCTTTGCCGTCCTCCTCTCCACACTGATGCTGTACGTCTTCTACAGCATGGAGGTGAAGGCACTGCAAGGCACTGAGGACCAGATGAGACTGGCACTAAGTAGCTTTCAAGAACAGCTTAAGGAGTCCTCCAAGGTTTTATCCTCGGACCATTTGTGAAAGCCACTAGACTGCAAGGGTTCCATTCATTTGTAGCCAGATAGTTCAACCAAATGTGACATTTGAATGGAATTAACTTTTTATAGAATTATGAAAATCACTATTTTATCATGTCTTAACTGAACACTTGCCTGGTTTTATTAACTATGCAGCTTTTTCATCGATATTGAGGGATACTTATACCTGGGAGCAAAGAAACCAGAAAATTAGACAATAAGTTAGTAAAATCATTACTTGCATGACAGATCTACTTCACTTTACTTAATTATTTCATAATGGTTCTCAACCAGGGTCACAGAATGACTTAAAATTATATATATAGAAAAAATATAATAATAATTTCCCTTATTTGAAGAGCATACAGTTTACACACACACACAACTAATATAATATAGTGTTATATATATAATAGGGGCCTTCAAATATCAAAACTCATAAAGGTTGAAAGCCACTGCTTTCGAAGAATGGACCAGTATGAATGGCATGTGACAGCTTATAATCACTTGCTAATTTGATAACAGTAATAATTTGCTAACGTTAGTAAATGGAGACCTGCTGGGCAGGTGTTTCTGTCCTTTATTTGTTAAATGTTTCCAATCATGAGTTTGTAATGTTTTGTGCATTCATTGTGAACTGAATGGCTAACAGTTAAGGTTATGTCCATAATAAGACCATTTTGGGAAACCAGAAGAAACCTCATATCTTCAGTTATTTTCAGTTACTGTTTGAGAAAGTCAAGCGGAGAAGAATAAAGCCATACCGTGTACTGTAACTACTATTAGATTGTTTGGTCAAACCACTCCATTACTGTGTATCTTCCTTTTGTTTAACCTGTCAACAACCTCATGTCTCTCTAATGTAACAGTTTATTACATAACTGTACCTTTTATAAAAAGAATAAACAATGCATATCAATTTTTCAGCAATCTAGTGTTTTTATTTAGTTTTAATGTGATCTACTTACCACAAGGGTGCAGTATTGGTCAAGTATTATGAGAATCTTTAGTAACTTGAAAAATTGTTCATGGTAGCTGTTATTACACAAATATACAGTATACTGTCAGTTGCTACATTTAGTAGATATTAGAGCTAGTTCAGTTTTTGAAAATAACGTTTGACGTCCTTCTCAAAATGTACATCTATGAACATGGTAAACTAGTGATATTTGATAGAGATACAGATATTATTGTATATATAACTTGAGTACTCCCAGTAAAATAGTTTTTTAATTGTGTGGTTATTTGTTCGAACTTAAGAAGCGCAAGAAGAGAAAGTTACCTCTCCTCCTCTTTGTTCCTTCAGAATAGGACAAAGCCAAATACTTTCCCATTCGCCGTCTTAAAGAGTATACGCTGTCATTTACTGTTGACGTGTTCTAACATCAGTGATGACACATCGTGGAGTGGGACCTGCCCATGCAGATGACTCTGGGTGTGGCAGGATCCGCTGTCTGCACATGTGTTTTTACTGATGCAGTCTGCTCTGCTAATGAGTCCTCACCTTAGTCATGGAGGTTCTCAGCAGTCGTGCTCATGCATGGCCTCGGGGCTGCACTTAAAAGGCCTTTCTTCATAAGAAAACAATGTCTTAAATTAATAGGTAGACAAACATGAATAGTTTTTTAATTGTGTGGTTATTTGTCCTTATTACTCCTCCTCTTTGTTCCTTCAGAATAGGACAAAGCCAAATACTTTCCCATTCGCCGTCTTAAAGAGTATACGCTGTCATTTACTGTTGACGTGTTCTAACATCAGTGATGACACATCGTGGAGTGGGACCTGCCCATGCAGATGACTCTGGGTGTGGCAGGATCCGCTGTCTGCACATGTGTTTTTACTGATGCAGTCTGCTCTGCTAATGAGTCCTCACCTTAGTCATGGAGGTTCTCAGCAGTCGTGCTCATGCATGGCCTCGGGGCTGCACTTAAAAGGCCTTTCTTCATAAGAAAACAATGTCTTAAATTAATAGGTAGACAAACATGTTTATACTATCAGCAGTGCTAGTGAAACACTAAAAGTAAATGCTAAAAGTGAAATGGCACTTGAGAGTTCATTTGGGGTTGCTCCGATTGCTTCAACCCTCTGTAGACGCCCTTTCTGATGGGTTGCAGTTCTCCTGCAACAACTGGATTTGCAGCTTTTCCCCTAGTAACTCATCTGAGGTATTGTTGAGGGAATACTAGAGGGATAGTACAAAAATGCATACAATTATATTGTTGAATGAAAACGTATATTGTGTAAATGCATATGAATTATATTAGTATAAAAAAATAAAACATTGAAAAATATATTAACAATTTAACTTTTTTCAATTTTGATGCAAATCAGCTTTTTTTATTTTTTCAAATAAATGTAAACATTTTTGATACTGAGATATTTAATCAATTTAATTTGTCGAATATGGTAAAGCTGTGACCAAGTGTAGTATAGTTGTTGTTGCCACATGCTTATGGTCATATATACTGCACAATAAATTGATATAAATCCATGTTTTACCTTGATTTTGCTTATATGCAGTATTAAATACATGCATAATTTTATTGAGCTATTTTAAATAAAAATGATACATAACAAAAATGTTATTAGTCATATTGATATTAAATTAATATTTATTTTAATTGTATAACTTAATTAAACTGCTAAAATACTCTAGATGTAAACTGTAATCATATTTCTTGTGTCCCCTATAACTATTGTTTTTAATCTAACAATATACAGTTCTTTTGGAATAACTTCTGGAATTTCATCATACGTATGTGCATCATTATTATATTTATCTTAAATACTATACATTTTGTTCATTTTTTTCATCTGTGTAGCGGATTAGCTCATGGGGAAATATGAATAATTAACCATAACTAGTTATAATTAATTATTCATATTTTAGATCCACTGTAGATATTTAGCTGACCACTCAGGGTCAACTGTCTTGTCAATTCTAAGAACGTTAATTTCCTGGTTAAGGGAAATAACTTTCTTACTGTACAATTCTATAAACTTGTAACGTAAATCTGCGTATTAATGCATGCGAAACTGCTTAAATGTGTTTTTAGTTTTAGCTAGGCTAACCATCAAATAATATAGTATAAAATAATATTTTCGGATGTTTTTCAAGAAAGATGTGCCTAATTTGAGTGCTTTTGGAGTTGTTTTACTCCGCCATAAATAACTTCTTGATAAACAGCTCCTCGTTATTTGTTTACTGGTAGAATATTTACATATTGAAGGTTAAAATCCGGTCTCTTGATTTAAATTTTTAAATTTTTAATTGTATTATTATTATTTTTTGTCCCAAGAGAACAAAAGAATTGATACAAGAAATGTGGAATTGTTTGATGGAGTTGATTTCTAATATAAACTCTTTTTATTAATAGGTCAACCACCAGAGGAAATTTAATAGTGTAAAAAGTGAACAATTTCTTTTTCTAAAAAAATCACTTTCATTTTAAACACAGGTATTTGGTTTCATTCAGTCATATCATGTAATGTATTTGCCTTTATAAAACTAGTCAGTCATATTTAATCATTTCTTGGACTTGAATAAAACCAGTAAACTTGGAAGTAAATTATACATGTTAAAAATGCATTGATTCTATAAACTCTTATTATTTATGGATAAATCACTATATGTAAGAAATTCAATACTGTGATGAAAAGTGAAAATGAGCCGTTTCTTTTTCTAAAAATCACTTTTATTTTAAACCAAGGTATTTGGTTTCATTCAGTCACTAGGCCTGTCATGATAACAACTTTTTGATGTGCGATATATTGCCCCAGAAATAATTGCGATAAGCGATATTATTCTCATTTTAAAGACCATTTTATGCCACTGAATATATAATCATAATGTAACAGCATAATAATGCAAGAAGGCCTACACGCTTCCAAATGACAACCAATTTTAATTTTTAAGAATATTTAGATCATCAAAATATTAGATACCTTAAAAAACCTGAATAAATAGCAAATAAACATTTTCTAACAAAAAGTGCAAAGTAACAAGAAGGGAAAAAAAGAAAAATGCACAAGGATGGCAAGACCATAAATAAGACCATATCTGCAGATGAAACTTTTTTGTAAAATCATTTTTTACATTTGAACTAGCAACTCATGACTACACCACGTTATGTACGAGAAGCTGCAAAAGACACAGACGCAAGTGGAATGTACAAAACATGGTGACATTAATTTTTAAGTAAATATAATGGGTGATATATTGCGTCACCAAAAATTGAGGTCATGTACATGTATTGCGCGATAAGTCGATATATTGATTATTGCAACAGGCCTATCAGTCATGTTAAATATTGTCTTTGCCTTTATATAACTAGTTAATTTAGAAGTACATTACACATAACAAATAGTCCATGATTTCTAATATAAACTCTAATTGTTAATGGATAAACCACTAGCCAATTCAATACTGTAAAAAGTGAAAATGTGCGCTTTCTTTTTCTAAAAAAAAATCTCTTTTGTTGTAAACCAAGCTATTTGGTTTTATTCAGTCATATTAAATCATTTCTTTGACTTGGATTAAGCCATAATAAAGTGTTTTTTCAGACTGTGACTGTGATCTCTCATTTTGTTATAGACCACAGAAGTACCAACGAAGAGTTAACCTCTGTAAAATACGTACCTTACTGTATTACATGAGGATAGTTGTATGTTTTATATTTTTGTTTTCATAATTCAAAATGTCCCTGAATGCATATTTTATTTGTCATGTGTCATAATTCAATTGCAGGCCCTGAAAGTGACTGTGTGTTTTACGACTTCAAGTTTTCTCCCGGCGTGTCTCTCAGCGGACCCTCGTTCAGCAGAGGAGGAACCATGACAAATGGGGTAAATGTCATCGATTATTTATATCTAAACATTTATTTGTTCCATATGCACTCTGCATGTGTTCGCACATATGTCTTTGCACATCTTCAGGTGCGTGTAAATTAATTCTGCATCTCAGTTTCCCACGGTTGGTGGGTAAAGCACATTTTTTCATTATTCATCTTTCAGGATAACAATGGAAACCTGAAATGTCAAACGGTCTTTAGCTTGTAACTAATAACCTGGTTACACATATATTTTTCTGAATTCGAAATGCTATTCTTATAAAAACAACAATAGTTAATAGGCACATCAATCCATCAAAGACGTCAGTGGATGAAAAGCAGTTACTACCTTCACCTAATTTTACATAGTCTGTAGTGTGTCCATATAGTCCTATGTGTTCACTTTTATACTACTTGCATTGAAAAAACCTTTAATTTGCGACTTGCTCACTTTTTCTATA